CTCTCTCTCCATGTAATCCCAAACAGACTTGATGATGTTGAGATCTTCTTTACGCTGACAATAGTTCTTAATGACTTTCACTGTATGTTTTGGGGTTGTTTTGAATTTGGGGCCAATCAGATGCCTTCCTGATGGTATTGCATGATAAACGATGAAGCATCGGCCTGTACTTCCCAGCATCGAGCAAACCATTAATTCTGATCAAATCCCCAACTCCATTTGCAGAAATGCAGCCCCGATCTTGCAAAGAATCACACTCATTCTTGTACCACCCTCCAGCCCAACAAACAAACTGCCTTCTGCTACAGCCAAATATTTCAATTTTTTAACTCATCAGTCCAGAGCACCTGCTGCCATTTTTCTGTTTATACGCACAGCTGAGTCACTTGGCCTTGTATCCATGTTGGAGGTATGGATTTTTGGCCACAGACTTGACCAGATTTCTTTTTGTTCAAGTGTACCTAGAAGAATTGATGCTGCTGTTTTGAAGGCAAAGGGAGGTCAAAATATTGATTTGATTTAGATTTTTTTCCTGCTCACTCACATTGTATTTTGCTTATTGTTAAATATAATCTATTTTAAAAGCATTCTTACTTTAGAGCATTTTTTCCACACGAGCCTGTGCCTTTTGCACACACACACACACACACACACACACACACACCTTTAAAAAAAAACTTAATTTCCTCCATTAGCCCCGAACTCTCCCACACCACACTCTGTTCTACAGTGTTCAGGGGGCCACAGATCAGGCCCTGCGGAGCAGTTTAGACGTTACAAACCTCTATCTATAGGAGAGGAATATTATTCAGTCCTAATCATTGAGTCTTGGGATTGAAACCACCTCATAGGTCGGCACAGATGGGGTGGTGAGACACGGCAGTTTCTAAATTGCTTCCACAGGGTAATCCATATTGTTTACACAAGTTACTCCTGCTTATCACAAACTCATCACAGCCTGAGGTAAATTATAAAATGAAGCACTGCCCAAACAACAAAGGGTGCTTTGAGTGCAAGGAGTAACGTCTCATTCTGCAATGGTGTGCGTTGACACTGCAATGACATCTGCTGTGTGTGCACGAGAGTTAGGAGGAGATAGAGGGTTAGCTTGTTCCTCCAGTGAGGAGTATGTGTGTTCTTCTCACGCTCCGCTGAAGCATGAAAAACAGTCCACAAGCAGGCTGCCAGCCAAATCAACACACACTAAAGGTGTGACCTCTGAGGATTCGGGAAAGTGGAAATCCATTATTGTATTCTGTGTATCTTCTATCGTTATTGTAAGATTTATGCTGCTCCATTAGGGTTCAGTGATTATGGGTTAAATCAATATCACAACATTAATGAGACTACTTTCTGATATTGGGCTTCCTTGAAAACAGGATGTATCTTTCAATATATTTGTGTTTGATTGATTTGACACTAGACAACAACAGTCAAGATGATCACATGACAAATCATGATGGAAAAGTTCACCAAATTCAAATAGAAAACAATAAAAGATTTCTTAAAGATATGCCATTATGAAGGATATAGGGTGCTCTGTCTTAGCCACCATGTTTTAAAGATTTTACAATTTCTCATCTACGTCTTAAACTGTCTGTGTGTTGTTTGTTTGTGATCTATCTATCTATTTATCTAGAACAGATAGATAAATAACTTAATTGTCTTCAAAGCTCAAGATCAGAAACAGAATCCACAAAATGAATAATTCAAACCAATAAGGGGAAGTTTAAGTTGACTCAGTGTTATCTGATAAAGCAGAAAAATATCTCTGGCAGCTCCAGTGGAGTAAAGCAGCCATGCTGCCATCTGCTGGTGGTAAAGACCAGTTAGGGTCCAGGAAGAAATTTGATATGCCTTTGTAATCTGTTGGACCGAGAGACACACACACATTCTAACACACACACACACACACCAAAACACAATAAACAGGAGCTCAGCAGATAAAAACAATAGATACACAAACAAACTCATGTGTACATATGGTTATAGCCTTGAAGTTAGAATGCACTGCAGGTGTAAATCCACTCATTCAAACGTCATGCCACCGTGTCATGACTCAACTTCTGCTGTATAAACAGTTTAAAAGTACACACACACACACACACACACACACCGCCGTGTACACTCACAGCAGAGGGCCTGATGCTGCAGCTGAGTTACTGTCATATTGATTCAGAAGCTTCTCCTCACCTCTGCTGGCGATTCATGCCTTAGTTAGTTTCTCCTATCGAACCCTGTCCTCTCACAGCGGAAGAAGTGATCGACCTATCAGCCAGCTGACTGAAGATAAATTTCACAGCCATATCACAGCCCCAGGCTGTCTACTGCTTAATCCACTTATGCTTTCCTAATTACTGAAGTGTGTCAGAAAATGGAACATAGCATAATTTAATTCCTGTTTTCTCAGATGTGCCTGGCATACTAAAACAACGAATAATATGGGCTACACACGACAGCCTGCCTCACCACCACCACCACCAGCCCAACCCCTCCCTTGCTATCGCCTGTGGGCAGCCCCGTGACGTGACTTCCAATGAGTTTCTCTGTCTGACAAGAGCCAAGGACGATCGTTCCGAATGGAAGGCAGTTTGGATAGATAGATATGCAGCAGGCAGACATGATTCCCCTCTGTGGGCAAACAACGGGGTGTTGTTTCGAGGCACGATCGCATCAGCAGGGAGGGAGGTGCGGAGTGAAACAAACACACCACACGACACAAATCGATGGCTTTTGCTGCAGCTCATGATGTGACGTCCACACAGCGACACACACAGGGAGATGGACAGGAGGATGTCAGGGACAAACTTTATTTTACGCCGTCACTTATTCAATCAGTCGCTTCACTCTCTCTCACACAAATCCATTTCCTTTCTTGTAGGAGGGGGACACACTGGGAGACACGCTGCAGCGCGCTGAGATGAAAGCCAGGATGACATATTGATTCCTAAATACTGACTTATGATTTAGTTTCATGGGGTTATGCTTCTTTTCATCGCATCACACTGCTCTGCTGGAGCAAAACTGCTTATTTTTAGGCACAGGGAATCCTCCATTAAACTTTATCCAAACCCTGGACTCACAAACAGGAACTGAATGGTGGAACATCAAAAACAATGTTGTACTTCAGTGGGACATCTGTTCATTTTCCCTGCCTCCCTTCTCTGAAAAAACCCTGAAAAAAAACATGACTGGCCGGGGCTTGTTTTTTTTTTTTGCTGTGATGAAATTATATTGTGGTGAAGCAGGTGGGGTGCGCTCGAGAACACACAAATACAGAGACACATTGTCTGATCGATGCCAACCACGCGCGTCCTTGGTTGATGTGCTGTTTCCACAGCAACACAGGGTCTTTATCGTCATCACATGGAGAGCTGGGTTATGCCAGTGCAAGAGTTCTTTAAATAGCCATCAGCAGTTCACAACAGCACACAATGAAGACAAGCTCTACGAACTCTGTAATTACCTGTGTCGTCACCATCATGATAATCTTTATTCATAGAACACATTTCTAAACAAGGCCACAAAGGTGCATCACATTCCAGAGAAATGGAAAGCTTGACTGACTGTCAGAAGAAGAGAAGCAAAGAGGTAGAGGTAAAATGTAAAACTACATAAATAGTTCCATGTGCAAAGATGCAACAAATGGAATACATACCAGAAATGGCAACTGAAATATAGATACGAATTGAAACTGGGAATACATAAACATATACAAAAGCATACTGTAGAAGAATCTGAGTTCTGACATAACACAACACCTTTACTCTACTAGTTTAAGTCGAGCTTTGTTACGGGTCTAGGAGTTCACTTAATGGTGATAGAAGAACAGAAGATCAAGCATAAACAAGAATGAGAGTCTACAGCCATGCTGGCTTCTGTGTGAGCTGCAGACATGCTAACATGTTAACTATGACAAAGCTAATACAGTGAAGTTTAGCAGGTAGAACGTTTACCACGGTCTTAGTTTAGCGCCATAGCATGCTAACATTTGCTAATTAGCACTAAACATGAGGTAAATGGAACTGTGATTTTTTATAAGCATTTGGTCAACTAAGTATTGGAAAAACTAAAACAAGTGACCTAATTAAGGACCTAGATTAAAAGTTAAGGGATCACAAAGTTGAGTTGTAGGAAACATGAATGCCTGTAACTGATTTCATGGCAATTTCTTCAATAGTTGTTTAGACATTTCACTTTAAACAGGAGCTCAGCAGATAAATACTTTTAGCTGCCTGTTTTGAAGCCACGATAATTTCTTTCGACTTTTTTTGTCTTGCATGGCAGATTTTGAGGGTTAATTTGTGCTCGCAAAGACTTCTGCTCAAGCATGTTTAGAATAACTAAAAATGTTCTATGAATAACTTGGTTCCTCTTCAAATACAACAAAACAGAAATGATTCAGGGCAAGGTGAAGGCACTGACGACGATTTAATGAGTTTTTACAGCTCCAGCAGACAAATAATAGGACACACAACATCAACTCAGACTATTTATACCGACATAATACACACTCTGATTAGAGATTCTTCAAATGGACTTTTCTGCAGTCAGACCCATGCAATTTTTCTTTTTATTGGTTGGTTTATCATTAGCTTGTTTTTCTTTTCTGTTTTGACCCTGCTTAATGTTTGATTACTTCAGTGTGTACAATTGAATTTTAAATCTGATCTATACCCCATTCTGCATACAAAATGTGTGCCAGTGAGCTACAGTGATTCAGATTTTGAGAAAAATCAGTAAAATGTGATTAAGTCAGGATAAGATCTGTTTTAAAAATAATGGCTGATGAAGATAGACTAATTAATAAAAATAAAAAAAACAATTCAAAAAGTAAATTTCAAAAATACTTCAAAATATATGGTTAGCTTAGCTTAGACCACTGAAGCTGTTTAGCTGATTGGCATCAGCTGCTTCATTCATGCTCATTTATGAGCTAATTTGATACCAGCTGACTAGTATCATCCCATCATACAGTATTCATACAGCTGAGACTTCAGAAGTGCTAAGCTTTTTCTGGTTTTATTTTACATTTAATGGACATATATGTCTCAGCAGAATCATCATTGCTACTCAGATTTTTTTTAGAACTCCCCCAAATCAAACTGTTTAACCAATTGCTATAAATGGCATGAAAGTTCAGAAATTAAGGTACTATAGTAAGATAATTTTGACTTTACAAAACAGAGCCAATGATTACACTGTCCAAAATATAGGATGGAATTAGGATATCAACATATCGGGAAGAAAGTAAGTACTATATTTTCTCAGTTTTACAGTACAGCATGGTTTGGAAGAGTGGTATGTTTTAGTGCACAGTTATTAGTACACTATTATATCAAGTGTTTCAAGAACCTAAGATAATTATCATATTTTTGTTTGCTGCATGGCACTTACTCAGCACGTGCACACACACACAAACACACACACACACACACACACACACACACACACAGATACATCCCCCATGGCCACACATCATCTCTTCCACACTGCTTTGTCACAGATGAGATTTTGAGAGAGTTGTGGGTGGGTGCTGACTCATGCGGGAAACATTAATCAGAGCCGTGTCAACCTTAAAGTGTTGTGACATCAGCTGCATCTTCCAGCAACTGGAAACGTAGGAAGTGCCAGTCAAATCCAATAGGATCTAAACGTCTCTGCACTATTAGCACAATTATGATATTACAGCTCAGGAAATTCGCACTAATTGGAAAGCACAGTGTGAGCTCATACTACACACAGATGCAGAGCTGCAGAATTGTCTCTAGAGGGAGCCATGGGTAAGGAAACCAGGGCTGATGGTGTTGCGTGGAGCAAGGGAGGGAATACACAACATCCAATATCAAAATATTTTCATACATCTTGGCATCACATTTTGGGCAGAGGAACAACCAACAAGCCATTCTCTTTAAAAAAATGTCCAATTTAATACAAAAAAAAATCCTAATTTCTTATCGAAACAAGTGGAAACATCTAAACGTGTCACTTTGTCAAAACAAGGCAGAATAAAATAGTTCATGATTTGTATGACATTGTTTTGCATTGTAAATAAGTGTAACCCCCTCACAATGCCGGCACGCTTTTTGCCCTTGTAAGACAAGTAAGATTAGAAAAGTCAGAGTTCGATTAAATGACTGGTTAAATTGGATAACGTTGCAGTGCAGTAGCCTGCTAATGTGCAGTGACACCACATAAAGCCATTAAGTGGACGCTGGCCATGATGTATCCACTCTGACACTGTTTACTGTTGACAGTCAGCTCCTCCTTCCCCTCTTCCCCTTCTCCCTCTTAGATCACAGACTGCTTTGGCTCAACCACCCTGACAGCAATTTCCGGATACAAAAATGAGGCGGGCATTTGTGTGTGTCTGGGTGTGCGTGTGTTTGTAGGGTGATGGGTGTGTGGACGATGTACGAGTGAGCAATCACAGAGTGATAAATAATTAAAGCCCGTTTTCTGCCATAAAACACATGGGAACAGAAATCATTTCAAAAGACACAGACAGAGCGGGGCTGAAAATTACAGCTCCTATTGATTATGTGCTTTGCCTCAGAGAGATTTTTCCCTTTGTAATTAGGCATCAGATTCCACCGGAACTAACTCTAAATGTCCATTTACAGGATAATATATAGAGGAGTGCTGGGCTGAACCCATTAACAACTATATATCTTTATGCTTCACATTATCAGCTGATGAATCCAGATAACAACATGTATTCAGGTGAAAGAAGTCCATTGGCATATTTACTATACGTAGAAACGTTGTGCTTTAGAGTGGATGAATCTGAAAACGCTCTTGTTCTCTTTCACAGACTTGAAGCAGGTGGTCAATGGAAGTGCGTTTGTCTTAATTGCAAGAAGTGGGACAAAACAATCATTTTGTGCCATTGATCTTATGAATAAGAGTGATTCATTCACAGTGAGAGCAGCAGAAGGCTGCTGCCCACGGGCAGGCTAAGTTAGTGGAGGAGGGAATCCACTCAGCAGACAGTAGACTGACACAGGAATATGACAGGGGATGCATCAAAGCTGTCACATACTTCCCTGTTTGACCCTGTGTGGCTAGAAAATAGAAATCTATCTAGAAGAATATAGAAATCTATCTAGAAGAAGATAGAAATCTACCTTTTCTTGTAGCTCATTTATGCTCCAATAACCTGAAACAACTGTGAACAAATTGAAAACAAAATGTAAAATGTTCAGATGCTAAGAGTGGGCAAAACTAAAGACTACTACATTTAAAAATATATTAAACATATGGTATAATCTCTTGGTGGTAGTCCTTCCCCAGGTAGGGACTGTACAAAAATTACTGGGACAAAGGGTGGGGGGTTGAATCATATGTTTTAGTTTTTACATAAAGCAATACCCTACCCAGAATTACTGTGTGTTTATTGCGTATATTTTCTTTGATTTAAAATGAACTGCATCCCCCAACATCTCTCAATAATACTGAACAGTACTGAATCAGTAAGACTTTTTTAATTATATACCCAAATGTAAAACATCCTTTCTTAGTGGAACAATAATATAGCCGCAAATAAACACATCACAAGTGCAACCGGAACTGTCCAAATTTAGAGCAAACATAAAATGCTGAACATTCAAATTTTGATGTTTTGTACTTATTTTACTAAATTTCTTACCTTTATTGTTATTCTAAGCACCGATGTAAGCATTTATGTATACGTTTTACATTTAGTAATCTTTATTCTTATGTTGTTGTCATTTTTGAGCAATCTTTGGCACAAGAATGTGCTTTAATATTAATAAAGTTCTATCTTATCTTAACATATAGAAAAAAGAAAAGACCCTGAACTCCCATAAAATGTCAGACTACCTTACCTTCTGTAAAAGAAAACTTCCCAGTCCCTTATGTCCATTAAAGGTGGTGTAAGCAATTCTGGAAAAATCCAATTCCATGACAAATACCATGATCTACAGCGAACAACAACACAGCAAGTAATGCAACTAATGTTAGCTGGTGTAAAGTTGTGGGTTAGCAAACTGTCACTACAGTTGCTGTTGTGAAGAACTGACATGCAGACCACTATCCCTGAGGAAAATGTGTATATATGAACATCAGATTTGATTAAAATGAAAAAACAATATGATTGACCACTAAAAATACCTTTTTTGTCTGTGGGAGAATAATGAAGAGACACACGGTTAAAGTTTGTTACAAATTTAATAATAAACTGGATAAAGCCATCAAGTTCTAAAATGAACTCCAGGACAGAGAAAGAAACATAAAATCGCAACAGTTTGGAGAGTCAATAAAATATTTCCAGCCGACAAGAGCAGCAGATCAGATGTAGAAACCAACTCCTGACTGAAAAAACTTAAAACAATAACTCCGAACCAGTATTTAGCTTAACTCCATCAGCTGTTAGCTGTAAACACACCGCAGGACTAGCTGCACACTGGCTGCTATTTCTGAGCTATAAATATAATGCTGACGTACGATCTCACGCCGACATCAATAAGACTTGCTATCTGACTATCGATATTGATTTACTGGTTTGATGGTGGAAAAGAGACAACCAGTAGTAACAAAACGCCAAAAATGCTCGACCACTCAGAAATTCACTGCAAGCCCCCCCCAATGATGGAAGAGTGGCTGTTTAAACTTTCCGTTATTCTCAAAAACTTCAAGCCAACATGGACAAAAAATCCTAAATGTGCTAGAATGATGAAAGATTTACTTCATCTGCTGATTAAGACCATGTGATGAGGTCAAAACTGGAAAGCAAGTCTCCTGTGAATTTGTCCAGGTCATTGTTATCGACGGTGGGTTAAAATCAAGGGCAACTGGTCAAGGCTGAGGTTGCTTGAAGATGTTCGCCTCTCATCCATTATTCAGTTCTTACTGACTATTTTCAGTTATCCAGGCTTCTTCAGTTCTGACTGATTGGCAGGGAATCCCAGCTATTTAGTAAGTACGGTAAGTCAGTTTTGAGTGAAGCTTATTTTGTCAACCAAACAAAATGATCACAAAAGAGCTTCTTGCACTATTAGATTTTCATTACACCATCCAAAATTGGCACATGCATCCTTTCTTTCATGAATCAGGGAAACCAGACTATTATCCAGTGGTCTTGTAATCCTTCATTAGAAAATGATACGTTACTTGTCATGGCATTATACATGTCTATGAATGTGACAGTTGCTGTCTCTTAAAACCCAATGGCCACAATGTTCAGCATGAGATGATTACCAGTGAGATGATTATTGAAACTACAGATACATTATGTGTAATTCAGATTTATTCAACATCATTTTTTAGACTGGTAGCGTGATATTGGAATTTGTGTGGGGGAGGTTAATGCTACTGTGACATGTTGGCCAGTGTTGTCCACAGTTTTTATGAAAAAGAGCATGTGACTGGCGCTGGACTTTTACTGCTCGTCAGCAGTGGGCATGCAGGAATGTTAAGAGGGTGGAAATGCACTGTTTAATCCCAAACCTCCTCATCAGTGCCCACAGGACGGCTCTCACTGGGCCATTGTTCTGACTGTGAAGGAGGGAGGGCGAGAGAGAGAGAGCGCATGGAGTAGACCTGCTTTAAAACTCACTCAGTGTGCCCTTTACTTGTTATTAATAAGATAATAATAGATTTTGTGTAGACAAGCTTTATTTCAAATAAATGTGTAATACAATATGTGTAAAGACATAGACGTAGCCACCGAGACGTCCCCCATTGGATTGTGGACGACCGTTTTGAGGCATCAAGTTTGGCATTTTGCCCGTCGTCATCGTCTGGTTTTTTTTTTGTATCAGAAGTGGCCATATTTGGACGCAAGGGTGGAGCTGGGGAGGGATCGCTACACCTGACGGGTCGCCGTGGTTGCAACTTGTCAATCGCATGGTAGCTCTAAAACATAACCATAACTTACAAAATTAACATCATGCAGTATTGAAGAAGAGTAGAAAACAGTGACTGAGACCATAAACTCATTGGGAAAGTGAAGTAGGGTAATTTTCTCATAAGCTTACATACAATCACGAATCTTTTTGCAACCAGTGGTGTCGCTCCCTGCTGGCTGTTAGAGGGAATTTCTAGGTTTAAGGCATGCTTCACTTTTCAGACCCAGAGGTTCCTGCTTGTATCTAAACGACTACCTGTTAAGATACTACTATCTCATCCATCCTTTTGGTTTTGGTTGTAATTAATTCTGGTTCAAACAGATGACATCCACATACATAATCCTGCCTTTTAAAGTTCTAACTGCCATGGATGAAACAGCTGTCAGTCAACATCAGAGCTATTTCAATTGCCGGAGAAACTGAAAATGTGGGCATTGATTCAGAGATCTACCATTAGAGATCAGAAGTTTTTCTTCTTAACTTGTTAAATTATCTTGCCACCCTTTATATTTATCTTGTGACCCCTTAGAGAGCACTCTCCCCCAGGATGAAAACCAGCGCCACATACAATAAGATACACATTCACACATCGACTGACTACAGTGCGAAAAGAAAAGCTTTCATATACTCCACACTGAGTTCAACACATGCAGCAGCAGGATCAGAGAAAACCAGGATGAGGCAGAACAAATTAGATAGCTGGGGGGAATCAAAACTAATCACATGAATACAGATAAAGGGAATGATTGAGGACAGACAAGAATAAGAAAGTTATTCAATGAATGGAGCGAACAAGGGTATCCATGCCATCTGGGAGCCATCTTTATGCCACTCAACTCACAGCACTTTCTGCTCCACCTATCAAATTGATAAAACCTTAAAATAACATGCCTATTTCTAAAAAAAGTTTCTCCTACAGGCCACGGACGACTGGCGTCATTCTGAGTGGTCTGAAATGGCCACTTGACAAAGACATAATGTTCCCAGGTTAATCACTGTCATGCAGCCACCCCCCCCCCCGCCCAAGACCCACCCATCCCTGTCCTCGGACACCTAGAAACATCAGGAGCTATTTATAACAACTTCATCCCCTCACTATGAAGGAGGGGTCTCTCCATTTTCCTTCTCTCTCCCCTCTTGCTTCCTCGCTCACTGTTGCCATGGAGCTCTGAATCAATGACATCACAGGAAAGAGTGTGTGTATGCTTGCGTGTGTGTGGAGATGAAAGCTGGAATCTGCGGACTGAGTGAACATGGCTGGCAAATATCAGGTGACGAGCCGAAGCCCAGACGGCAGACGTCCAGCTGGAGCGCGCACACACACACACACTCTGTACGTGGCACACACATCAAGTTCATACAGCTTTTCACCCGCCCACTCACCAACCCACACAACCGATCTGTCTCTCTCTCTCTCTCTCTCTCTCTCTCTCTCACACACACACACACACACACACACAAGCTAATTGGGTTAATGATGATGACTGAAAATGGCTGTTCTGTTGTGTAGATGTTATGACATAACATCTACACAACTTCAAACAGAATTCTGATTGCTAATTACATAGATTACACAATGTTTTTTTTCTTTTAAATGTCTCTCAAGTTATTAATTCTTGGTTCAGCAGTGGTAATTTCCACAACACTTCCCAGATGAAATAGGAAATTACACGGATTAAAGGGTCAATTCGCCTAAATCGCAAAAACTTCATTCATTTAATGATAAATTAAACTGTTCATGATTTTTTACATTCAGTGATTAATCATTTAGTGGATAAAATGTCAGAGAACAGTAAAATATGCTGAATACACCAACAACAAAACACAGAAAAGCAGAAAATCTTAAAGCAGAAAACACAATTTTAGTAATTTTGTTGGATTGATGATGATTTTAATTATGAAAAATGATATAAAAAATGTTTTGTTTATGTATTTTCTGTGAGTCACCTAATTGATCAATTTTCTAATCAATTCAGCAATACTCATTTAACCCTGGTGGTGTCTAGCCATGTATTGTCTAGAATCATAAAAAATAAAATCAGTGGAAATAGGTCAGGATTTCTATGTTTTTGGACTTTCCAATTTTAATATAATCTATTGGGATCCTCCATCACAGACTACTTGAGCTGACAGCAAGAATTTACAGGGCTATATGGGCCTTAGTGATCCTATAGCATTTGTATTATGCTGATTTTAATCTTAATAAGGCTAGGGTGAAAAAATATCCATTGTTGACAACATTATTTGGCATTCTTCTTTTGCAATAAGTCACAGACTATTCTAAACGTTTTAAACTGCCTTTTGAAAATCATGTATCTCCAAAGCGTCAACTTTTAACAAGCAAATAAAAACGGCATTGTTTTCAGCTTTGTGACAATGTATTTTTTAACAAACCCAATGTTTTTTAAATGGTTTATTTAGTAGAAGTAAGGAATACAGCGTTATGTTCCCCTGAATCATGTACATATGATTGATCATGTAGATATGATTGTTTGGCTTTGTATCTATGTGACTTTGTATGTTTGTTATTTGATATACAGGAGTGTGTGAGAAAGTATGTTAAACTTAATGAATAGACCCTTTAAATATCTCTGACAGGCCTACTTCAAACAAGTCTCACAAGCAGGGGTGTGAGGCCACTTCAGATTGTGTGGCTAAAGCAGCAGAAAATATAAACCGCTTGGAAGATAGAAGAGTTATGCGGTATAAGAGACCATTAATAGTCTACGTGCATGCCGAACAGACAAACAGGCTGCCGACACATGACGTCTACTGTATTGTGAAAGATCCAGTGTGTGGAAGAATGTGCAGCACAGACTGAAAGAGTGTCTAGTTTGGTATTACAATGCGTCATGTCCGACATGGCTGCAGAGCTGATAAGCCTGTCTTATCTCTGTTGCTGACTGCTGCCCGCAGAGAAAGTGACTGAAGGGGAGAGCAGACAGTGAACACAGCAATGGAACAGCACTGAAATAATGCCCCCATTGTTCCATCTGTTTACGCCCTCCTCATCTCCCTTACACACACACACAGACTTCAAACATTCACCACCCTCTCAGTGTCACCCCGTGTTGCTTTTACACCGTTACATCATGGCTGCCCCCTTGTTTACTCTGTCCTCTTCTTCCTCGCTCATCTTTAAATGTGCTGTAAATACAGCATATGAACCCCCACCCACATGCAAACACTTCAACTCCTGCAATTGGCAGCACACATGAGAGCCGAACCCCTACCCCCTCATAGCCCAGCATCACATAAACCCATCCGTACACTCTTCCTCTCATCAATCTCACTCGTTCCACCTTTGTGTCAAGTTGTAAAAGAAGCTCAAAAATGGGGATGCTGGGGTTAATGCTGTTGCTCCAGAGTGCGCCAGCATGCAAATCAGCAGTGTTTATGTGTGTGCAAACAATCCACACATGCAAAGTATTTGTGGCGCCCAAACCACTTACAGTGCCCAACTGAAAAGGGTATCCCCCATGTCGGGAGAAGTCAAGGGAGTGTAATTTGACGCAGCATTTTCAGTCTTTTTGTAAATCAAATAAATGAGACTGTACAGTAGCCTCTCTTTAAAGACAGTATATTTTGAGAGAAGAAATTACACTTCTTCTTCTTCCAATTAAAAGTACAGTACTCGTGCAAAAAAAGGCCTCTGTGACATACTATATTATAACTCATGAAATAATGTATAAGTTTATGGTGGAGCATTTTTTTTACTATGTTGTATTAATCAATTGGTTTATTAAAAAATCTGACTTTTTTTAATTTAAAAATTTAAATAATTGAGAGAAAGAGAAAAGCAGCAAATCCTCACATTTGAGAAGATGGACTCATGAAATGTTTCTGATAGAGGGCATGTCACCATAGCAGCCGCATAAACTTTAAACCAGAGAGATATACAGTCTGTGGTACAAATACACAGGTCATAAAACAAGCAAAACAAAAATCAACAAGCCCACTGTTGTTGTGCCTGCCCACCGAGAATTGCATGCACCTCATGGGTGCACGCACAGCTAAAGCGTAAAAGCGCCAGACATGTTTAGAAACGATATAATATTCTTTGTGAGGTTCATCAATGGTGATAAAAGATTCAAGGTCAATATTTTATGAACGTTTAGATTCATCAATATTTTATTACACTTAGTAGAAGTAGCATTCCTTGATGCACTGAAATGTGCGACGATTCCTTGATTAATCTCTCAATGTCTGAAAGCAGTGTTCTTGATGGATGCATCTATCTCTAAGCTTCAGACACTTGAGGGTCAAACACTATTACCAGCTCATATTTGGGCTGTTTATTCTTGAAATTTATAATTTCATATATACCATAGTCGTCGTGCCTGAGAAAACAGGTGGATGCAAATCTCGGCAGGTAGCCTACAACATGTGTTCTGCCGAATAATGCATCCACCTCTTCAGTTCCTTTTCAGACACATTGCAGTGCGCATTGATCAAATGCTGTTATCAGCACATATTTTTGGCTGACAGTGTTTGTTTGTAGTTTATTTGACGGGGACAATGTAAAATATATGTACTTCATCAGATACAGCTGAAAGCTAATTCCCATCTGTAGTCCCTGGGCAGGTGTTAATAGTGCACAAGGTATTACAATGAAAAATTTATAATAAATCCAAACCTTACATTTAATAAAGATATAGAAAAGCTGACCAAATCAAACATATAGCTAACTACAAACAGACTCAACCATACCAAAACTCCCAAAACAAAAGAATAATAAATTCCCATAAAAAACAAAACATCATCAATCCCAATGCAGAAATACACAAACCATCAGTACAAGAAATTAACCATGCACACAGTTTGAGTCTCAGTTTGAGTCTCACAGCTCAATGACTACATACCTGATTGTCCTTCAACCATATTTTTACACTACCTTTAAATTTAAAACTACTGCATTCTCTGACACTCGGGGGTAAAGAATTCTACATCCAATATAAAGCTTACCAGGTGGTGCAGCTACAGTCAACTCTAACTTACCGAATAATAGCCTACCATTAACACTACAGGACACTTGAAATCAAACTTTGATAGGAAACTGATGGTGTAGTCGGCACTGACAGAGTTAATTTGACAGCCGACATTCATTATTCCGCATTTAACAACTTAATTTCAGGTTTACAGTTTATAACGGTCAAAAAATACTTATAACACATCGATCCAGAAATCAAACTCTCAGAAGTTATTAACGTTAGAGTTTAACCAAGGAAACCTTGGGTATTTCCTCCATCCAAGGTCACAGAAACAGACAATGCAATATTATAGGTTCGCTTACCTGACACTCTAGTCCAAGTCAGTAACGTTACGATACAATTCATCTAGGGAAATATGAGGATAAACTTTATGTTCAGTACGTTAGGCAACTTCATCAAGTTCACCTCTGTTGAAAAGTCCGTTAGCTGCTAACACGCATAGCTGGTTTGGGGCTAACGTTAAATTCGCATCCTCTACTAACTCTCGGGCGGTAAAGTAAAGGAGCAGCTTTGAGAAGAGTGGCCACATTTGAACTTTTTTCCATTCTTCGTGGCGTTGTCCTGTGACAAACTCGAGCAATGTACTTTATTTTGCCGTTATTTAAACTTGAGGCAAACCAAAGGCGGCTAGCTGAAGTTCCCATTCTTGATTAACAAGATGGCGCTTCTAACGTGCTGTATACACCTGGCTGCAGTTGTCAGAATTTCGGAGTTATTGTTTTGGTTTTCAGGGCCTGCAGAAAAAATGTGTAAATAGCTGGTGAACACAGAGGGACATTTGGAAGCTAAGGAGCCACATATGTCCTTCATGAGTTGGTAGAAACCAAAACAAACGAGTGAATGAGTGGACTTCAGTTCAGCAGGCGGCCATAGGACTACAATGAACGCAAAGTTCATCTGTATGAGCAGGATGTGTAAATAAGGAGCTATTTAAGATAATGCCAGTGCTGTTTACAAAGTCAGTTAATGTAAGATGGCATACTAGAATATATTTTTGTGCAGCTCTGGCACACATAAGGTGAATGAATCGTGCCTTTCAATCTCTCATCTGAAGAGATATTGTTAGAAAAGGAAACCATCACTGATGTCACTTACATGTCAAGCCACAGAACATTTACAATGCAAATTGAGTTAGGGTGACACAGAGTACACATCTGAGCATTGAGACAGCCCTAGGAGTGCTTTACATCACAGTCATTAATAGGACAATAAGATTAAGGTTGTTTATCAGTACATGCAAATTAACCTTTTCTGTGTGGCCAAATGTTCAGCCATGATCCGTTTTCCTCCAAACAAGCCTTTGCACCGAGTACTGCCACAGCCTTAAAAGGCCACAGAGGCATACAAATGTGATGGAGGTTGTGTGGAACTGACGTCTCTAATTGCATCTGCATTCGGAGAACAAGGAACCTCGCTTCATAAGAAATGCATACAGTATATATAACAGCATCTGCATGGCAAGCTTGTCATTCATGATGAGGTGAAGTGGCACACAGCTGGACTACACGAATACAGAAGCATCAAAGCATGAGTGTGTGACCCATTACTCATAAAAGCATCTTTTTATAAAGTGGATTTTGCTTTTGAGATCCATGATAGAAGAAAACATTGAAGAGGAGTGTATAGGATTAAGAATATGTGATGGTAGCATGGCATTTAAAAGATGCAGTTGACAAAGGGGAGTATTAGAGTTTGTCCTGCTTTGTGCTTCAGCAGCTAATTAATAGTGCAATCATCTAGCTTTCATTAGTGTGAAAATGCTTCTCAATTGTTGACGACTACACACACACACACTATGACAGAACCTCCATTTGGTTTGTAAATGGTTTTTATTAGCAAAATAAGGGAGATGAGTTTACAAAGATTCTCCATCTGTGGAGAACATACACATACATTAACAGTTGTGGCAGTTTCTTTATCTGAACAGATCCAGGACTGTATTTATCATTCTTCTTGGCAAAGTAGTACTGATCTAAAATCATAGACCAGGCTCCCTTAACCACCTTAGTTCCCATCACCTGAATTAAAGGCTTCGTGGATCCTTAAACAGCGCCTCTACTCTCAAATCAACAAAATACATGCATCCAACAACAGTGTCTGAAAATTAAAACATCTCAGACCTCACCCTCACCTTTAAAACCATCTTTTCTGTGGTTCAGTTTTTCTCTCCTTAACACCAAAAACTCCCAAACTCTCCTCCAAAATACATTAAAAGATACATTAAAATGTGCCTACTCTGGTCCTTGAGCATATTATAAGCTCAGTGCCTCAACTAACCATTTTCCGAAAGGGTTGGGAAGAATGGATATTTTGTACACTGTTTAAAAAGCGGACCCCCAGATCTTTGAGGTAAATGTAACAATATACATCTCAGTATTTTACTGCGTGATTGGCCAGTAGGCCTTCCATTGTCATGGCGGGTGGGGGGATTGGGGTAGGGGACTGTGGAGGCTACATGTTGGCCACCATGGAGACCCACGTACCTTTAGACCAGAAAGAAATCTTCCGATAGCTCAGTGGTGTGCACATAGAAAAGAGCAGGGACACTAACATATGAAAACAGTTTACCTCTTTATGTTTAGAACAATTCAGCAGGCAACAGAACAAGCATTGGGACTACGACCGCAGTAAAAGGCATGCGAAGGCACAAGTACCAACAAACTGGACTCAAAGTTGTACCCCTTTTCTTCCCTTTTGGTTGTTGATGAAGGAAGAAAAGAAGCATTTCCACCAACAGCAAAGTTTCCTTTTCCAGAGACAGCGGCAGAAGGAACAGCGAAAACATGATATCCTTTCTCCTCCTCAAAAATTTTAAACAGAAAGGAAAAGTAATTTTTTTTTTTTAAATGTGTGGAATATTTGTGGTGACACTTTTACAATGATACAAACATCCTACACAAATGTCATAACGCTAGTTGAAAATGTTCCAAGACAAAAACATAAATAAAGCTGTTAAAAGTGGCATATAGTACAGCACTGGTCCGTGACTGATCCTCCCGGCTCTTTTCATCTTCCCCACCAAAGATGCACAATAAACTGGCTCCACTGCCTGAGGACACAAGAGGAGGGAGAAAGATACATGAAGGAGGAGGGATGGGTGTGAATCGTTTTAAAGACAGGTTTTGAAGGGCGCAACCTTGCTGCTATCGTTTCACACAAATCTAAATGGAGCAGAAAATGTATTTATTCCTTTGATAAAAGAAGTTAATGATTCCAGTGATTAAATTACAGATTGGATTATGATGCATTATGCTGCATCTTTGTGGTCAACTCCAGCTATGTTCCCCCATAATTCTTAATGCTTAAGCTCTGAAAACAAATCTGAAGCCAATTTGTTGAACACATTTGAAAGAGAGATGCAGACATACACTTTTACTCAGCAACTCCCGCTGCATCCTGATGATTACCTGCAACCCCTGTACACCTTGGTTGAGCTCGGGTTGTTTGAAAGATTAAGGAGGGATGATGATGATGATGAGTTCCTTACCAAGAAAAAAAGCATTTTCATCTTTGTTTGTCATTATCCTCAGAAGAGTCCACAGTCTTTCAGGTTGTTCTTGATGATGACATCTGTGACAGCGTCAAAAACAAACTGCACATTCTTGGTGTCTGTGGCGCAGGTGAAGTGGGTGTAAATCTCCTTGGTGTCCTTCCTCTTGTTCAGGTCCTCAAACTGACACTGAATGTACGCAGCTGCTTCCTCGTACGTGTTGGAGCCTGGAAAAGACGAGGAGCAGGAAGCGAAAGAGCCAGGAAGTCACAACATAGGAAAAGGCATTGAATGCATCTTGTTTTTTTAATTCATTCAAAAAGTTGTGGTTTTATGCAGTGTTAAGTGCCAAACTATTTCTTGGTCAGGAGCACGGACTCTAAATAAATATAGACGACTTGACAGTTCCCCAGAAGTGAAACCAAAACATCTCCATGACCCCTTGGTGGCTTGGTAGGTTCTGGTTTAGGCTTTTGACAGTGCCAGACTAGCGGTTTCCCCGTTTCCAGTCCTTGTGCTAAGCTAAACTGATTTCTAGCTGTACCTTACAGTTAGCAGACAAATATTAGAATCGTACCAAATAAAGTAAAGTTTAAGTAAAGTAAAGTAAACTTCATAAGCAACTTTTGAAAGAAAAAAACCCAAACATCATTTGCAGTTTCTCATGGCTTACTTGTTAACTAAATAAAAAACTAAATGAAAGGGCTACCTATATTCAAATTATTCTGTAATATGCTGCCAATCTTACCAGCGTATTCTGGGTAGCAGATGGTAAGAGGACTTTTCTTGATCTTCTCCTCAAACAGGTCCTTCTTATTGAGGAAGAGGATGATGGAAGTGTCTGTGAACCACTTATTGTTGCAGATGCTGTCGAATAGCTTCATACTCTCATGCATTCGGTTCTAAAAGAAAAAAAATGAAGTTGCTGTTCATTTTTGCGCTTTGCTCAGTGATCCACAAACATGGAAAGACCTTGAACGGAACCTGTTCTTTATTTCTACATCACAATTCCAGTAAACAGAGACAATGTTCCCACTGTGTACGAACACAAAGTGCCTGCTATTATGTTCTTCCATGAGTCAGAAGCGGAAGCACTTACCATCTCCTCGTCCTCAGCCAGCACCAGGTCATAGTCACTGAGGGCCACGCAGAAGATGATGGCGGTCACACCCTCAAAGCAATGGATCCACTTCTTCCTCTCAGACCGCTGACCGCCAACGTCAAACATTCTGGAGGGAGGAAAGAAGTAAAAATGTAAACTTGTTACCAGCATGCATGCATACACAGACACAATACAAGCAATGTTTATGAAACAAAAATAAAATAAATGTCTGGGAGGAAGTGCTCTGGATGCTCTGGTCTTTCTGCAGGGTTTAGTGATGACAGTTGGTGATAAAGGGGAAAGGAAACAGACATTTTTGTCTATTGTTACTTGAAAATCATTTTGATAAAATGTTAGCGGTGCAGAGTGTCCCGCAAATGCCTATATTGAACTGTGCACTCAGTGACTATGTAAAAGCAGAGGAAAAAAACAATTCAAAACAGGAGCAGACCTTTAAATTTTGCACTGTGTTTTCTATTTGCTCAGTTAAAAGGTATAAATGTGGGGGGAATTTTATTGCTTGCTTAATAGAGAGCCATTCTGACTAAATGCAGTCCAAAGTGGCATGAACTCTGTAAGTCAGACATTGTGGATATTTCTTCATACATTGTTCACATTCAATTTCTAGACAAGCAAAAACTATGAAGAGCACTTTTGAACCAGATTCCACAGGAACACTGTATTAAAGAATCAAAAAAACAAATATGCTGCGGTGGCATGTTAAGAGAACCAAACGCCTCATTTAGCTCCTGTAAAAGCTCCAATTGGTCTACTAAACTGCAAAAAAGCTTGTGTGGAAATAATATAGTTTTAAAGACAGGATTGGGGACTGTCAAAAGAAAATAAATAACATTTAACTGGTGCCAAATCAAAGAAGTCTAAAAATTTTACTTGTCAAAACATGTTAAAGGCTGACATCCTGGCTCAGCAGGTCAAACCCCTCCCATTATGTTTACCTTCACAGCTACAAAGTTAGTCATTAAATTGGAACCATGAAGATTAAATACTGCTTTTCATATTTCTGTTGAGCCACCACTGTGTAATTCCTACATTACATTACAGCCTTATAGAAACACATGTTGTAATGCCAGTGACAAAATGGTTGCGTCATCATGGCCGTTTACAGAAAAAGATGGAGTAAACACAGAAATATTAGTAAGACTTTCTATTTGTGTGTGTGTGTGTGTGTGTTTTTATGGAACATATAACATGGTATTTCTCTCTATTTCTCTCTTCAACTTTATGAATTTCAATGACACTGGCATCAGCTACAAAACTTCTGGTATCATTACATCATCAGGCCTACTGCCCCCACTTCCTGTCTGTGTTTTTTAACAGAGGGCCATTACTGAGTCATAGCTGATGAACACCATCACAGGCTGTGTCACAACTAAGAGCTGTACAAAGGGAATTTCTATGAGAGTGAAGTCAGCAACAGGAAGGAAAGCTAATTAAGCCATAATATAAAACACTTTGAGCCTGAACCAGCTGTTAACAGTGAAGAAATTCTCACTTGAAGTGGAGGTCCTTGAATGTGAAGTGCGTCTCCACAATGCCTGTGGTTTTGACTCGGGTCCTCAGGACATCCTGCTGAGTTGGGATGTAGGTGGCCTGGGATATCCTGTCCAAATCGTTCAAGTAGCTGAGAGAAGGACACAAAGAAAAGGACAAAAAGGAGGGGAAACAAAAACAGCAGAGAAGAAAAAGGGGGAAAAGAGGAAAAGGGAGTGAGAAAGAGAACAGGAGAGGAAACAAGTAGGAGAAAATGTGTCAAGGTCAAGTGTGTAACTGCCAGTTGAACAAACAACTCCCACTGCATACACAGTGATAAACCAGTCTGGAGTCCACATTTCGGCCTGAAAGCAAGTCATGATTCAAACGTTCGGTATGAAGCAGTTTACTTCTTTGCAGAGCAACATCTTGCGAGAAAATGAGTCCAGAATATACAGTATTAG